GCAGACCACATCCCTAAAGCAGCTACTCAGTTGCTTGTGGTAGGTCCCACCATGGAGTTGATTGCCATTTTCACCATGGGGAATAACTACCTCCAGCTTCCCAGCCACTCACCCAGGCCCAGACAAGATGACACACAAACTTAACCACCACAGCCAGCCTTCTGGTTAGCAGTCAAATGCCTTTGGCACTACACCAAATGGACATGCTGTGAGGGTCATACCCTAGGTCTGTCTTTGTCTTAATGGACCTTTGTTCCTCAAATCCATTTTATTTCTTCCTATTTTGTAGTGAGGGAACTCTGGTAGCGTAGTGCCTAAGGCACTTGACTGCTAACTAGAAGGCTGGCAGTTCAAACCCATCAGCCACTCCTTGGAAGGAAGATGAGGCAATCTACTTCCATAGTGATACTGCCTCGGAAACCCAAGGAGGGGTCCCTATGAGTCAGGTCCAACTCGACAGCATATAACAACAACAACATTTCGTAGTGATACTGCCTCAGAAACCTAAAGAGGGGTTGCCATGGCAGAGAGTTTGATTTTGGTTCTAGAAGCAAAAGATTTTACATACCATCAAGGCTTCAATTCCTAGATTTTTATCTAATTCTCTTCAATGATTGCAAACAAGCTGTATCTTTAATATCTGGATAGTAAAAGCCAATCACACTAATATTCTCTCTCTTTTCAAACATTTCTCTTTAGAGCAGGGGTTGGCAAACTTTTTCTGTAAGGGTCTGGATAGTAAATACTTTAGGCTTTGTGGGTCATACAGTCTTGGTTAAAGTTACTCAACTGTTGTTCTAGGACAAAAGCAGGCATAAAACCTGTTGCCACTGAGTGGATTATGAATCATGGAAAGTCCACATGAGTCAGAGTAACTATAATCTAGTGGGTTTTCAGTAAACCAAAAACCAAACTCACTGCTGTTGAGTTGATCTTGACTCATAGACACCCCTCCTTGGGTTTCTAAGGTGGTATCTGTATGGAAGTAGATTACTCAACCTTCCTTCTGAGGAGTGGGTGGTGGGTTTTCAATAGGTGATTTGTTTTGGTAGTAGATGGCCAGGGCTTTTGTTTGGGGTGACTCCGGAGGGACCCTAACCTTCAATTTTTGGTTAGCAGTAGAGAGTGTTAACCTTTCGCACCATCCATAGACAATATGTAAACAGATAGGTGTGGGTGAGTTCCAACAAACTTTATTTACAAAAACAGATGATAGACTAGATTTGGCTTGTGGATATAGTTTGTGGATTATCCTTGTAATCTACAACTATGACCGTGTTTAAAAACTAATAGCATTTGCTATTGTTTTCCAGATAAAATCTTAATCCCTACATATGATACCTGTTATGGTCTCCTGGTGCAGTGTAGTACATTACTTAGTGTGGCTTTTCTACCCATAAGTCTTTGTAAACTCCAAGGTGGAGTTTGCCACGAGCAACTGAGGAGCTCCTGATTGCTAAAGTTGTCCACCTGGGGTATTTCTGTTGGGAGTGGCACTAAACAATGTTCTGGGAGGTTCCCACTCTCTCTCAGGTGCTTAGAGTTCTGATGCTATGATTGGCTAGTTTGGCCACTCTGCCGAGCTCAAAAGGAGGCCTCCTAGAGGCAGAACTCTCTCTGACTGCTGGTTGAGGAAGATGTGCTGCTGAAAGAGACAGGCACTCCTGAGAGACATGTGCTGCTGGGAAAGAGATGCAAGAGACATGCATTGCTGAGTAAGACATTGAGGGACACACACTGCTGGGGGAGAGACTGTGAGAGACTTGGCTGAGAGACGGTGGGCTGGGAGAGATAATGAGTGTTTTTCCTGAATTTGAATTGTAGCCTGGTGCTTCCCTAATACACCCCATAATCTGTGAGTTCTGTGTGGCCACTGCAGTGAATTATTGAACCCAGGAGAGAGGTGGTGGGTGCTTTGGGAGGAACGGTTGGAGAAAGAGCTGGAGGGAGGCAGCATGTCTGGCCTGGCAGGAATAGGCCTTGGGCTATTGATGGTGATTCTGCCTTCCTCTTGTGGGATTAGAGGAGGTCAGAACATGTGGCCTCCCTGCTCTTTTTGTACCTGGTTACCTTTCTAACTTCATATCCCATTATTAAACTTTATTAATATAAACCAAAAACCAAATGTACTGCTGTCAAGTTGGATCCGACTCATAGTGACTGCTCCTTAGGTTTCCAAGGCAGTATTTCTGTTATAGCAGCACTAGGTAAATGAGAAAAGGGCAAACATATTGTTGTTACAACAATTTCAGTGTATGAGTTCTTGGATGGTGCAATTGATTAAGCTCTCAGCTACTAACCAAAAGTTTGGTGGTTCAAACTTACCCAGAGACACCTTAGAAGAAGCCTGGGCAATCTATTTTCAAAAGGTCATAGGCTTGAAAACCCTGTGGAGCACAGATCTACTCTGTACAGATGGGGTCACCAGGAGTTGGAATAGACTCAGCAGCAAATGGTTTATTTCAGTGTGTCAAATAGTGTAAAAATATAGCTATTAAACCATACCCAATGCCAGATTTGAATTGACATAGCTGATCACCACTACCTACAGTTTTACTTAAGGAACTCTGGTGGCATAACGGTTAAAGCATTCGGCTGCTGACCAAAATGTTGGCAGTTTGAACCCACCAGCCACTTCAAGGGAGAAAGATGAGACAGTCTGCTTCCATAAAGATCTATAGCCTTGGAAACACTATAGGGCAGTTCTACTCTGTCCTTCAGAGTCACTATGAGTCGGAATTGCCTCAATGGCAATGGGTATATAATTTTACTTTAACCCTTGAGAAAATGACTTGGAATAGTGGAGTAGTCAAAGGACAGCTAGGCTAAGAGTGACAGGTTCTCATTTTAGTTCTACCATGAAAAATCTTTGTGATCTTGGGTAGGTCACATAATATCTTTGGACTTAAATATTTCCATTTGAAAAATTTGAGAAATATCCTAGGTAGCCTCTAATGCCCCCACCCACATTATGATTCTCTCCATGCTCTCTTGTTGCCTCTATAACAGAAAATGCAGAAAATGATAAGTTCAAAAAATGACAGGAAACTGAAATGAAGAAGTATTTTTAGAATTATATTTTCTGCCCCCCTCCCCAGTATTTCCAAAAGTGAGGACAGGTAATATTTACTGAGCCATTAGGAAATATTTTTTTTAAGATATTTTTTTCTACTAATATTATAAATATATACACATATGAGTTATTTTCTTATACATGAAATAATCTAAATCTGCTGGCTAACACCTTTATTAAAAAAATAAGATTTAAATAAATTAACAAAAAATGTGAAACAAGTTCATAACTAAGAGAGTTAACATCTTTAAAAGAAATCAAGTCATGATATGTTTTCACTCTTGAAGGAAGTCATAGATTTGGGAGAACCTGGGTAGACAAAGGGCAGGACTGAGATAGAGAGGGCGCTAGAAAACACAGGCTTATTTTTTCTTATGGTTAATTCTTTCTAAAAGAGGTTTTTTTTTTTTTCCCTATGCAAGTAGATTTGAAGATGAGTTAAATGTACTCATTAGGTTGCCTGAATTGCTTTCAAACCTACTTTCAAAACCCCTTTCCTCCAAAGAAGAGGAATTCTAACATGGAAGCCAAGGCAAAATAACATATGTGTGTGTGTGTGTACATATATATATACACATATATATTTAACTTACTTCTCAAAAGGGAGTTTTGCAGAAATCTGAGAGCATTTATTCAATTTATTTACATGATAGAATAAGTGGATTAATTTCCACAAGCCCAAATTAACATTTCCTGTCTTCGCTCATAACTAAAGCCTTAAGAAAAACTTACCAAGATTTGGTAGTATTAGCTTGGAGACTCATACCCTCTCAATATTCCATGTGCCAGAGAAGCAGAGAGGTGGAACTGAAGTCACCACTTCCACAGATTGACATTGTTGGGGACAGACTCATTAGTCCAGCCTCAAACTTCCTCTTTCTGTGGTTTTCTACCCCCACCTTTCTGATTTTACTTTCTTTGAGGAAACCATTGTTGAGTTTTTCACTAAGTTCCAGGCATGGTGCTAGGTATTGAGGCTACAATCATGAAGAAGATGGTGGCCACGCTCTTGAGGACCCAACAGCGTAGCAGAAGGCGGTGCTACATTTAGTTCTTTCATCTGCACTGAGGCAAAAATATGGTCTCAATGAAAGCAATTGGCTTTTTGAGACTATTGTAACTCCTCAATCTATAATATATATATATATATATATACACACACACACACACACATATATATATACACACACACATATATACACATATATATACACACACACATACACACACACACACACACACACATATATATATATATATACATATATACATATAAACACACACACTCACGCCAAACTCACTGCAAGCGCAGTGCCTAAGGCACTTGACTGCTAACCAAAAGGCTGGTGGTTCAAAACCACCAGCCACTCCTCAGAAGGAAGATGAAACAATCTACTTCTGTAGTGATACTGCCTCAGAAACCCAAGGAGGGGTTGCTATGAGTCGGGTCGACTCGACGGCATAAAACATTAACAGCAACATCACTACAGAAGTAGATTGCCGAAACTTCCTACTGAGGAGTGGCTGGTGGGAGTGAACCACCAGCCTTCTGGTTAGCAGTCAAATGCCTTAGGCACTACACCACCAGAGTGTGTGTGTGTGTGTGTTTATACATACATACATACATACATACATGTTTATCTCTTTATATGTAAAGTGACTCATATTGTTATTTTCTCTGTGGTCCTGGGTATTCCCATCTCCAAGAGGAAATAATTGCATTGGAGAAATTCTAAGATTAAACAGGAAAGAGTGCAGGAGTCTGAGTTAAGACTGAACAAAACTTATGGAACAAGACCTAGAAACATAGCAGTGAGTGGTGACAGGATCCCACCCTTAGTGCTCCCAATTCTTGGAGAACTCACTCATGCTAGCAGAGCACATATCAGTGGGGTCTCATGATCCCCTCGCCCACAGTGGTTTGCAGCCTGGGTACAATGTACACACACTGACTTTTTGGGTATCTTGGTCCTCAGGACCAGGGTAGGCAGTCTAAGATGTCCAATTTTCTTTATTCTTTCATCTCGCTGAAGGAGCAGTAGCTGGGGCCCAGGCCTCGCACAGTGCAGTCAGTGCTGTCACTGTCACACTTGCCACAATGACATTCAGTGGCCACTGGGTACATATACAGGGAATCTTCATGGTGCACACAGCCGGGCACTCTCACTGTCTCATACACCAGCTCTTTGAAGGTACATGTTTTCTGGGTGTTGGACCTGGCTGGGTCTTTATACACCAAGTCCTGAAGAGTTTAAAAAGAGAGAATATTAGGGTACAGTTTTCTGGAAATTTCTACTTAGCTCACTTTAAATGAGAAGGGATTCAATACTGCTTGCTGTAGCATTTACCTATTCAAACCCACTTATAAAATTTCTAACCAAGGAAACATGACATTACAAATTATCTATATGCCACATGATATTTCCTCATTATTCTGGACATCTTATGGAACATTGTCTTTCTTTCTTCTACTCTCTAAGGCTACATAAAAACAAACAAACAAATAAACTCACTGCCATTGAGTCGGACCCGACTCATAGCAACCCCTCCTTGGGTTTCTGAGGCACTATCACTACAGAAGTAGATTGCTCAATCTTCCTTCTGAGGAGTGGCTGGTGGGTTTGAATGGTCAGCCTTCTGGTTAGTAGTCAAATGCCTTAGGCACTACACCACCAGAGACCCCTGAGGCTACATAGAAATATTAATAATTTCTCAACCTCTAAAGGAAATTTGAATATGAAAAAAGTTGAAAGGGGAAATACAACTTAGAATTTTGAGTTGACTTCTTGTGCTTACTCAGAAGCTGTATTGATGATAATTTAAACCATATAACACTGGAATTTGTTTCTCAGAAAAATTATCTCCAAATACATTATCCCTGTGTATTTATAAGAAGTCAGAAAAGATGTTGTACAAAATATTAATGCTTAGCTTACAATCTTTGTGAAGGTTCACATTACTCAGATTATGAACTTTCTACTACCTTGTAGACATTTTCACCCCTTAAGTGCAGTATATTTTGTAGAGCTCTTTATTTCAAAAAGATATAAAAATGGTTTTCATATAAGAAGTTTTAATCAGGACAGATAATTCTAGTGAAAAAATCATTTACACTGAGGAAAGTAATTGGGACTGCTTGCTTAATTTATTTCAATACCATGCTACAAAGTCTATATCCCAATATAATACAATAAATTTTGCAATAACTGGCATTTGATGAATCAAACTATTTACCTATATGTAATGTATATTTTAGGAGCTCTGGTAGCATAGTGGCTAAGACACTTGCCTGCTAACCAGACGGCTGGCGGTTCAAACCCACCAGCCACTCCTCGGAAGGAAGGTTGGGCAATCCTACTTCCGTAGTGATACTGCCTCGGAAACCCAAGGAGGGGTTGCTATGAGTCGGGTTTGACTCGACGGCACATAACAACAACAATGTATATTTTAATAAAAATTGCTATTTTCAATTTCAGTTTATAGAATGAATTTCTGCATAAATAGATGCTACAGAAGAGAAAATAAAACAGGAATGATCTCTTTACTTGGATTAATAAAAATAAATGGTAAGAATGCAGACAAGTAATTTTATGCCTCTGTACATTGGTTTACTTAACAGCATAGGGATTGGATTTGTTGATTAATTTTTTGTTTCTAACAATCTACAAGGACTGATTGTTTTCTCCGGCATTGTGTTGGCATTTGTATTCGGGTGGACCCAAAAAACAATTTTTATAATTTGGTTGTTCATGTTTTTATGTGGCTTGGAAATGTGTTTCAGTACTATCTGTATTAAAAAACAAAACAAAACAAAACAAAACTATAGCCTCAATTATGGCAATTGACTTTTTGACAATATTGTATTTTCTTTGTGATTAAATATATGTATGTAAGTATACCTGTTTATTCTCTATATGTAAAATTTGGCATACTGCCTTTTTTCAATTCAGAGTTGGCATATTACTGAATTAATCATTTATATCAATCCAAGGCTGCCCTAAATTTACTCAGATCAAATGCAAGCCCAAACATCTAAATGGTATCATGGTAACTAACCCTAATCACAACTCAGACAATGTTGGCTAAGGGACTGATGGCTATTATTTGAGGGAAAGGAAATACTGATAAAGACCATTAATGTACTTGTACAGACACTCAGCATTCTAACTTTCAGCAAAACCAAATTCCTACCCGGGTATAGCAGTAGCCCGCACACCAAGTGGTGTTGATGCTTATGCAGAAACGGCATTCTTCTTTCTCTACTGCAATGGTGATGTTGGTCAGCTCACAGCTATTGCAGAAGATTGCTTTCCAGCAACAGAAAAGGAAACAAAACTGGATTGACTTCATCCTTGTCTGGGAGGCAAACAATTAGGGAACATTAGAAACCAGAAAACCAAATGCTTGCTTTGTAATTGACCAAAGCAAAAAGAATGGGTCTACCCATACTCCCCAATCACTATTTGCTGCAAGTTTTTTCTCCCTTTTTCTTTTCTTTAGTTCTTTACTTTTCTTCCTCCTCTTCCTTCTTCTCCTTCATTTTGTCAAAGTGGAAATACATTGTAACTCAAAACTATGATATAATGCTTAAAAAAGAACAGTATGTGAAAAGTGGAGTATTACTGCTGATTTAAAGTGATTATTCTGAAGCAAGGAATTGTGATCATTAGAGGTACACTTTCAAAACAAGTGCCCTCTCATGATTACATTTAAAGGTTATTTTTTGATTAAAAAGGCAAAAGATAATTCAACACTACAAAATTACTTTTTCATTTTGAGCATCTCATAAATACTGGTATATACTTTTGCATACTGTTCTTTGAAATAACGCTTATTTCAGAAGTCAGATGAATTGGTCTATAAAATCAATTGTTTGCTAACAGCTATTACAAATGTGTTATCCATATTTAACAAGCCAGACTTATAAGCATAATTTCTTATAGAACAGTAGTGAAAAGTTCTAGATTTGTTCTCTAGGACCTGAAAAATCTTTACTTTCAAAACTAACAATCACCTCTTGATAAGTATAAACAGAAACTCACCTGTGGTCAGCTGCCTTGCTTAGGGAAAGCTATGGATTGAATCAAGCCTCAAGTTCACCTTTTATACAAAATCTTGTGCAACTAACACCTTTTTGGATTTATTGGGTATTAATGCGACCAATGGTAGCTTGGAGCTTACTGTAAGTAAATCAGTGTTTAGACAGACAGGGAGATCAAGACTTACTAAAGTAGTCTAAATGCAATAGATCAGGAATTGATAATGTTACCAGAGATGATGATTTTGTACAAAATAAATTTGATATAGTAGCACGCCCACTCTTTTACCTTGTCAAATTAAATGTGACTCTGGGTTTTTGTTTTGTATCTTTAACTCAGCAAACTCAGAATTCTTTCCAAGTATTGCTTTGTCTCTGTTAAGAAGGTGCCTCAAATAAATAAGGTTGATACATTACTCCAAGAGTAGATTGCAAGCTGTAAAAGCACCAACAAACAAATATAAAGACTTCTATGATCTGACTCCTGTCTAAAGTTAGAATTGTGTCTCTTTATCTCCCACATCCAGGTTCCCCAACATCAAACCTTATTTTTGATACTTTAGCAAGAGCTGTTGTTGTTATGTGCCGTGGAGTCGGACCTGACTCATAGTGACCTCTCCTTGGGTTTCTAAGGCAGTATCACTACAGAAGTAGATTGCCCCATCTTCCTTCCGTGGAGTGGCTGGTGGGTTTGAACTGCCAGCCTTCTGGTTAGCAGTCAAGTGCCTTAGGCACTAAGCTACCAGAGCTCCTTAGCAAGAGCTAACTACTTGCAATTCCCTAAATGCACTGTTGACTTATTTTTGCTGATCTTTGCATTTGATGTTCCTTCTCCATGAAATGTCTTTGCTTCATCTCTGCCTCTTCACACTCTCATTCGTACTCCCAGCAAGTTCCCCAACTTTCAACACCTTCAACCTGTCTCACCGCTTGACTTCAGGATAGGAGATGAGGGAGAGCTTTCATCACCACCTTCTTAGTGCTACCTCTGTATCTTGTCATAGTCCTATGTTAGTAATCATTTATATATATCTATTTCTCTCAGTAGACTGAAAACTCCTTGAACATCAGGTTTGATTCTAATTCATTCTTTGCTTAACAAACAAATATTTATTAGCATTATTTCTGTGGAAGTAGATTGTCCAGTCTCCTTCCGAGGAGTGGCTGGTGGGTTTGAACTGTCAGTCTTCTGGTTAGCAGTCAAATGCCTTAGGCACTATGCCATTAGAGTTCATAATTGAGTATAGAACAAAAGTAGAAAGAAGAAGAACTACTAAGATGCTATTGCAACAAACTAAGTGAGAATGACGTTTGCTCAGATTAGTGTGGTAGCAATGGTGGTAATAAGAAATTATCTGATTTTGGATGTACATTACAGCCAACAGATTTTGCTGATGAATGGAAGTTGTCTGTGATAGAAGAGTCAAGAATAACTGTAAAGTTTCTGACTTGAGTAACTAAAAGTTTATAGTTACTAAAAACCAAATTAGGGTGATTGTATGTATTTAAAGTTTAGAGGAAAGGTAAGGAATTCAGTACAGATATTTTGAGTTCAAGGTGTCTATAAGACATCTAGGGAGCTTTGGTGGCATAGTCCCTAAGACATTTGACTGCTGACCAGAAGGCTGGTGATTCAACCCACCAGCCACTATTCAGAAGGAAGACTGAGCAATCTACTTCCATAGAGACACCGCCTTGGAACCCAAGAAGGGGTTGCTCTAAGTCAGATTTGACTCTACAGCAATGAGTTTTTTTTTTTTTTTT